AGAAACTCAGGAGCAAATAATAACCCTTTTAAAAAGCCCTCAAAAAGACAAAAACTGGGGTGAGGGGAGGAAATTAGAGATCAGTGCAGAAATACTGGTCCAAGAGACCCTAATAGCTAAGTAAGAATAATCCCCATCCTTCAATAAAAAGACGATGACAAAGAAGAAACAGAAAATAGCAAAGAAACTCAAGACAGTTCTCTAGATGAGATGATCTAGAGACTCAACAGCCCCAATAAAACAAAAAGGTCCATGCCAAACCATACTATAAAACTAAAAAATTTTAGAATCCTTGGGCTAGAGAAGATACTAAAAGTTTCCAGAAAAGGAGTGAGGGAAAAGTGACTAAAACTGGTTATTCATAATGTGTCATACTACAGCAACAGATTTAAGAAAAACACTATAAATGAGAAAACAATGCTTTCAGAACTATGAAATTTAGTTTCAACCTAAAATTCTACATTTTATTAAATAGGTGAGCTTTTCAGACAGGCTAGAAGTTTAAAAATGTTTGTCCCTGTGCCTTTCTCCCAAGACAATGTGCTCCAGTAAAATGGAAGAGTGTAACAAGACAGAAACACAGAACCTAGGATGTAAGGGGTCCAACACAAGAGAGCAGTTATGTGAGATCCCACATTACTCCGAAGAGATGTCCCAGGAAAACGGGCACAGAGCAGGCCTGGTGAAACACCAGTCTAGACTGGATTAAGATGACAAAAGGCTAAGGAAGGCTGTCTCCAAGAAAAAAATGGAACAGATGTGTTTTAATAGATGAAAATATTTTTGATAGGCATGTGACAAATAGAACAACATTTGGGGGAAAAAATAGCTGTTAAAAAATAGGCAAGTGAATACAGTCAGGAAATCAATCCACAAACAAAAAGAAGACTATGAAAACAGGAAGACCAGTCAGGGCTACTTACTGCATCTGGCTGTGTGAGCTCAGGTTGGCTAGGAAAAGGGGGCTTATTCAGGAGACATGTAGAAGTGCTTGGATTTCAGAAACATTTATGACTTGATAGTGAATAATATTGGCAGAGCCATAATAATGTAAATAACAATTACTCATTTAATAAAAAATGTGAAAGGTGTCAAAGAAACAGAGAGGGAAGTAAGGTCATGGTGGAGGGAGCAAACTAGGCTTTCCTTCTAATGACAGGACATCAACTGACTATGCTAAAAACTGACTTGGCTGTTATCATTTTGTTACTTCAATTTTTAAAAATTAGGGGAAAAAAATTAAGGTAGATCTTTAAACTACAACCAAGTTAAGATTTAACTTAAATGTCAGAAACCCTTAAAAAATCTTTAAAAAAATAAGCACTATGGACTAGCAGGTGGTGTAGTGGTTAAGGCACTGGATCTTACATGGCCAGCTGCACAGTTTTAGTCTCAAACACATGGCTTGAAAAACACCACACATGTGTGCATGCACGCCCAAAACCCCAGAGGAAAATGGAGAAGGCACTGCGGCATGGCCATTCTCCCTGTGGGGTGAGTTCTCATTTTTCCCTCTTTTCTCTCTGTCTCTCTCCAGTGAGTGCACCTCAGCAAAAAAACGAAGTAATAATAATAATAATAAATAAGCACTATGAAACAAAATATCTTCCTGAATAAATCTGACAGCAGGAAAAGAGAAGAGATTTAGAAAATCCACAATAAGAGATCCTTGCTAACACTAGGTCCCATTATATTTTTAGAAATGACAGCAGACATACTTTTAATTCAAACTATTAATTTCTTAACTTTTCAACTGTTTACTTACATGGTTTAAATGGTTGCTCTTCCTCTTTTCTCGCACTAAGAATAAAAGAAATTAACTGATCATTTCTGATACAAATGCCATTGAAAAATAAAAGTAGTTGCTAATTACCTGATGGATTACCAATATACCCACTGAAATGGAATTCCATTCTATTATTAAAATAATTTCTGACACAATAATACACATCATCTGGCAAGATGAGTCCCATAAAGTACAAGAATCTAAAAGCTTAAAAGCTTAGTTTTACTTTTTGATCTAACAGACATTCTCCTAGGTACAAACGAAAGAATCTCCATGTACAAAAGAAAAGGGCAAAATGAGAGAGATGTGTCTAATGAAAATGTTTACCTGTTGTGCATCGGAACCACTAGCCAGTTGTGTTTTCTCAGTCTACGTGTCCATGCAGCTTCCTAAAATTAGCAAGCTCTAACAGCTGACAGTTCTAAGAACCAGTTACTGGCCAGCCACCCATCTCCAGATATACCAGAATCCTGACCCATTTACTGGTAATCTAATAAAATATGCTACTGAAAAAAAATATGTCATCTTCACACAATTGTAAAGTAACAACATTTTTTTTAAAACATTTATTTATTATCTATGTATTATTGCGGTGATTTTTAGGCCACTGGGTCCAGGACCTGAACTGCAGTCAGTCATGTGGGAATCTAGCACCTCAACCACCACACCACCTGCCGGCCTCTCTTAAGTTTAAATTTTAAAATGAGTATGCCAGCCTAATGGAACATATCTAGAGCACACAAAATTTTTCTGCCCAAAAAAGGCCAGAAGAGTAACAGCTCCAAAGAGGGTCTTGAGTGACACTTTGCTTCCCACACTACCTTCTCCCTCAAGGCTAGACACGCATAGTAGGTGCATGCTCCATACCACTCCAGGGAGGAGCATGGCAGAGCTTCACTCTTACTGCTTCACACACACTCCACGTGAGAAGCCCACAGCTTCCGAAGAAACTGAGAAACACTGCAATCCTAACCAGAAATGACCAGCTCAGGACAGGCAAAGTACACACACACTGTAAAAATGCAGGTCAGAATCTTGTTTTTACTGTGTGGCTTTGTTTCAATCATTATAGAACCCTCACTTCTTACTGTTGTAATCAACTGAAAAACCTGGTGTATGGCTTTTTAATCTCATAAGCTAGGATCTAACAACACTAAGAAAAACAAGCAGGTGTGCAGGAAAACCCTACAGTTGATTTACATCCCCAAATGAGCAGGATGCGGGAAATGTACACTAGTTTCACAAGTTCAAGCTAACCTTCGGGGAAAGACCCTGGGTCATGTTTGCTCTGATTTTCACGATGTTAGGATGAAAAAGTTCTGAGTAGCGTGTATTGAGTTTGTTGGGGAGTCATGGCTTTTTCTATGCATTTTTGCATAGAAAAACATAGAAAAATATGTCATGACTTTCCAGACAAGCTAATATGGCTAATTTGGCTATTGCACTGTAGAAGAGCCCAAAGTCACAGATTGAATCTATCTAACTATCTATTTATCTATCTATCTATCCACACACACACACACACAATTTTTTTTGTTGTTTGTTCTTCAAAAAAAACCTAAATGCAGTCTAAATACTATCATTCATCTTTAAAAGGTGTTCTTTGAAGAAAGGGGACAGGGACAAAGTAATATGGAGAAGTAAGTATAAACCCTTGAGCACTTCTAAATCATGTATCCAATTCAATTAATTGTGTTGATAAAGAGGTGGCAAAATATGTACAAAAAATCTTCAAGTTCCCACAAAACCAATGACAACTAAAGGAAAGTATGTCACATGTTAAAATAAGACAATATATAGACAAAATATGAGAAGCTGGAAAACTTAAACCAATGTGGAAGTTCTTAATACTTTCTATAATAAAACACAACAGTTTTCTATCTTTTCCGTGGGCGAAAAATGCTGTCTTACCATCCGTTTGAGATTTGCTCAGGAAAATTGTGCTTGCTCTTGGATGGTCAGAAGGGTTTGATTCCAAAGCTAGGTCTAGAGAAGAAAAGAAAATGTGGTCATTTAGTTGAGTAGAAAAACAGATGGTTTTAAAAATAGCTACACATCAAATTTAAGTACTTTTAACGATCTTGGGAATTGGGAAAAGGTTTTGTTTTGAGGCGAGAGAAGCTGGAGAAGGGAATGGGAGAGGGCAGGGAAAAACAGAGGCATTTGTGACTGTCTCCACACCTCATGATCCTCTTGCCCTACCTCCCAGTCAGCTAGGACCACAGACACATGCCACTAAGTCTGGCAGATTAGGTTGGGCCAGAAACTGGAAGCAGGCCATACACGTGGCCTCAGCCACTGTATAGTGTGGCACCCTTGACCTTGGTCACCATCATGGTTAGGCCTATGTTTTAGAAAAAGTTTTTACAAATGAATATGAAGAAAATAAATATAAAGATTATACTGAGCAACTGCAAAAATGCAGAATCTCTCTATACACACAAAATGAAACCAGTCTTAACACTTTTTTTTTAACGTGCACCTAAATAATCTGATGCAACTTTTAGATTGATTACGTATATGCCTCCCCACCCTGACTCACTCCCCTCTATGCAGTAATTACAAGCACATTTCAGGAATAGTCTCAAGCAGCAAGTGATGCTGTGGTTAATCACCATCAGATACCAACTCAATATCAGGGGTACTTCAAAAAGTTCAGGAAAAAGTTAAAGTGAGAGTTTATTTTAGTGCAAAAACATTTTGAAATCCATGCAGTTTTTTCACAATATGCATTTCCATTATCTCTGTGAAGCCCTCTTATATATCAAATGTGCAAAAACAAAGTGAGTTGTTTTGGCAGATGTTCCTTAGACAATCAAGTGGCTAATTCTAACTCCAACAAGTGAACTCATGTAGTCAGCGCTGGTTTATCTGGGGGCTATTCATCACAGCAGATTAAAGAGAACTGCATGTTTGATGTTCTAATCTTCAGAAATACTTCCATGATAGAAAATGATTTTTAATTTTTGCCCTCAATTCCTTTTTTTTTAAAGAATTATTTATTTCTATTTATTTATTCACTCATTTATTTTCATTTGACCAGAGAAAGACTTGAACCATAGTGGGCCATGTGGGAGTGTCCAGCTCTTTAACCACCATGTCACCTGCTGGTCCCTCAATTTCTTTTTTTTTAATTTTTAAAAGAGATTTTTGCCTTACGGTGCATGCACCCAGAGAGACAGACAGAAACGGACCGAGAAGGAAAGTGAGAAATCACCCTCTAGGGAGGATGGCAAGCTGCAATCTTCTCCTCCATTCTCCTCCCAGGATCTTGGGCATGCATGCACACATGACCGGTGTGAGTTTCAAGCCACTAGCTCTGGGACTTAAACCACAGTCAGCCATGTAAGGAGTCCAGTGACATAACCACTATGCAATCTGCTGGACCCTTGCCGTCAATTTCTAAAGCTGAACTCTCATGTCTTTCTTCCAATGGCATAACTAATTGGGGACTTTTAGTAGTAAGAGTTCCTTTCTAAGCAGATCACAGAACTGCTCCTAAATATATTTGGCACTACCTATATCAAGGTAGTCCTGCCTGTACAGCAGGAGAAGATAATCTTGTATTCAGGCAAGACTATAAAGTAGACTCATGAGTTTTCCTAAAATAAACTTTGTCATCATATGTCAAATAAAAGTTGTAATCGGGGGAAGAAAAAGAAAACTTATGACACTTCTCTGCAATGTCCACCTCAAACCATTTGTCCTAATCAATCTTTTAAGGAGCTAGGCCAAGATCCTGTCAAAGTAATAATGATTACAGGCAGTATCTCCCAAACCACATGTTAATAAAAGTTCTACTTTTTAAAAAGGGATTCAGGGTACCAGCAGTTGGCGTATTGGCTATGTCGACTCCCATGTAGTCAACCACAGTTCGAGTCCCAAACCTGGTGGCTTAAATTCACACTGGATGTGTGTGCACGCCGAAGATCCCAAAAGGAGAATGGAGAAGAGATTGTGGTATGGCTATCCCTGTGCCCCGGGGGGTGATTTCTCGCTTTCTGTCTCTCTGGGAAGCACATGTGCCCTGTAGCAAAAACCTCTCCAAAAAAAAGGGGGGGGGGATTCAGTGACTATAATCCTAACACGCAATATCTCTGGCTCTTCCAGAATCAAAATGCCCATTGATACATTAACAACTGATCAGTCTAACCTAACAGTAAATATCACCTAACCCAGTATTTCAGAAATTTACCTACCTAGAATCATTTTTCCTCTAATATGTTTAGAATCTTGCATGAACATAATTTTAGAATCTCAGGTTTAATAGCCATCTGAATCATCTATTTTAAAGGTAGTGCTGAATCACTGGAAACACACATACTAAACTGCTCTGTTCTCCATAAAAAGTCCTTTATTGATCTGAAGTTCATCAAATTGCTTTTGGAAAAAACTACGTAAAAGACCCACATAAAAATTATTTTCAAATGTTTTTGCCACATCTTTAAAAAGCTAGTAAGATGACGTCAGCTATTAGGAAAACCATTCGTGCACAATCTGACAAGTGGAGAGACATTCACAGCTGTCTTCAACCTAAAGTTTCTGAAAGGACTCATGACAGCTTCTTACCAAAAAAAAAGCAAACATACTACCATGTGAACCAAAAAATAAGCAGAAAAGTCTGTAGCAGCAGCCATATTATGTACCAGTAGCTATTGTCATGGTAACATTTAATAAAAAAATTTCCAATGTATGTAAAAATAAAAAAGCTTCAGAATCAAAGAGGAACAGTCTTTAAAGATACACACAAAACCCCTAAAAGCCAAGATGTGCTGTTATGTATCTACACACAGAAATAAAAAAGTCTGGAACAGGGTCGGCAGGTATCATGGAGGTCAAGGTGGCTGAAGCACACATGGCCAATTATGCAGTTCGAGTCCCAGATGAGATGCCTTGAAAATCACACCAGGAGCATGTGCCTGAGTGCCCAAAATCCCAAGAGGAGACTGGAGCAGAAGGAGTGTGGAATGGCCATCCCTCCTGGGGGATGATTTCTCACCTTCTCTCTTTCTCTCTCTCTCTCGCATATTTGCTCTGTAGCAAAACCAAAAAAAATTCTAGGATGGAAGAAATAATAACATGAAAAAAAAAAAAGGGCAAAATTAGCCTAAGTGATAACTGGCACTGCCCTACACCAGGGCTTTGGGGTGGGCACGTCCTAGAGCTGCTCTGGGACTTCCCACAGAAGAGAGGAAAAGGCAGAGCTGTAACTCTAGGCCGTGAGCTAGTCAGGAGCTGCCAGTCAGGAGCAGTGGCTCCCTTTGCCAGTGTGAGGATTGGGAAGCCATTTCAGAAGAGAGCAGAGGAGGGTAGAACTGAGATTAGTTCTCAAAAGATCATTTAATTCCTGGGTTGAGCAGTAGCTAACTGACTCTGAACTCTCTGGTTATACAAACTAAACATTTATTATTATCACTATTATTATATTTTTTAGTTTTTGCCATAGGGCACATGCTCTTGCTGGAAAGAAACAGAAATAGAGGTAAAGTTAGAAATCACACCCTTAGGGGAGATGACCAGGCTGCAGTCCCTTCTCCTCCATTCCCCACTTGGGATTTTGGGCAAAAGCGTGCACACACATACACATATACACACAACATGATTTTCAAGCTGTCGGGTCCAACACTTGAACTGTACAGTCAGCTGTAGGATCCAACCCTTTTTTGATTTTTAACTCTCTTGAAATGGATTTTCTTCAACTTGGAAATGTAAGAGACCTGATTAATCAGTGGTACAGATGATCACACTAAAGGCATGGATAGGTGAAAGTTTCTTTTCTTTTCCTCTTTTCTTTTTGGCAAAGGGTGTGTGCCCTCACCAGAGAGAGTGCTAAGAAATCATCCTCCAAAGAGGACGGATGGCCACGCTACAATCACTTGTCCTCCATTCTCCTCTCAGGATTTTGGACATGCATGCATACACACAGACATGCCCAGCATGATTCTCAAGGTGCCATGTCTGGAGCTTGAACTGTGGTTGGCCATGTGGGAATCCAGGGGCTTAATGATCATACCACCTATTGGCTCCAACGTTACTTATTTTAACAAATACAATGAACAGAAATTTACAAAAGCCAAAATAATGCTCACATAACTATAAATTCAAAAGCATTGCTTTACAAAACTATTCTTATGCATGTTTAAAATATAGCTCTAATAAGTATACAACTTAAATGCTATTTTGTTACAGTCTCCATCCCACTGCTGTACATTTACTGTTTAATGGACACACAATGGCCTGTCAAGTGTTATTTCTATACTTTAGCCAACCACCAATTGTTGGGGATTTAGTAGGCACTTAGGAAGTTTTTTTTATAATGAGAAAAATCATTACATATACAATATTTTAAAATACTTTTCTGGGGACTGGCCAGAGGTGTGGTGATTAAAATAGTTGAATCCCACATGGCCAATGCACGGTTCAAGTCCTGGACCTGGCAGTTTGAAAAACACATCAGGCATGAGTACATATGCATGCATGCTCAAAATTCCAAGAAGAGAGAATGGAGTGAGAAGGAATTAGGGCATGGCCATGCCCCCCTGCGGAGTGATTTCTCTCTCTCTCTCTCTCTCTCTCACACACACACACACACCCTCAAGCGAGCATACTCTATAACAAATGTTTTCAATACTTAGTTTTTAATCTTCTTTGGGAAGATTTTTAAAGTGGGATGACCACTAAAGGTACAATCATTTTCATGGCTGGCTTTATAGCTAAGTTGTTCTGTTAAAGAAGTAAAGGGCTGGCAGATAGGGTAGTGGTGGTTAAGGTAGTAGACTCCCACAGGGCCGACCATTTTTCAAGTCCTGGACCTGGCAACTTGTTTTCTCACCTTTCCTCTCTCTGGTCTAATTAAAAATGTAACAATAATAAAATGAATAATTGTATTACTAATAAATAATAAAATTAAATAAATAATTCTAAAAAAAAAAAAAGAGAGAGAGAGAAAGAAAAGGTAGGCAGGCAGGCACAGGGCCGGCAAGTGG